ATCCGGTGTTATTATAATCCTCCTATATATATAGAAACTGTTTGTATGTTGTAGATATATATGTTTTTCTGTTGTTAGTCTTTGATTTCTTTAAATATAAAAATCACAACACATTATATATATATATATATATATGGGGAATGCTAATGTACTCTCACCTATTTTTTAGTGGGAGTATGTTAGCAATCTACACCAATTTTTTAGGACAAAAAAATCACTCATTTATTTTGATTTGGTTAATTCGTACAAATGATATTATAGTAATTTAATTTAATTTTAAATGAAAACAAAATATTTTCTCTCTCTTATTAATTTCATTATCTTTTATCTCTCCTATTAAATTCTTTCTTTAACTAATTTCTTTTTCATCTCTCATGATGTCTCCCTCATCTCTCTTTGAACAAATAAAAATTTATTAATAGAAAAAATAAATGATTTAAAGAATGAAATTAATAAGAAAGAGAAAATATTTTGTTTTCATTTAAAATTAAATTAAATTACTATAATATCCTTTGTACGAATTAACCAAATCAAAATAAATGAGTGTTTTTTTGTCCTAAAAAATTGGTGTAGGTTGCTAACATACTCCCATTAAAAAATAGGTGGGAGTACATTAGCATTCCCCTATATATATATATAAGAAGGGTTCAAACGATACTGATATAACTTTTACTAAGTCCCTGTTTACTTTTATGAAAAGACTATTCATGCATATGGAAAGCGATGTATGAAACGTGTTTATTTCGAGTGAAATACGAAGAAAGAAAAGTGGGAGAACTGTACGGAGAGTTCTTCGATAAACCATGAAGAAAAGCGTAGAAAGATTATGTGTCATACATAATCGATTATGGGCCAGCATAATTGATTATGCATACATAATTGATTATGTGGCATTTTTTCTTTCAGTCGTGGTCCAGAATAGACCGTTTCAAACTACTAAAACAAGTGTAATTTAGTAGCTTAGAACGGGTCGTTCCCAAATTGGAACGGGCCGTTCCCAAACTGGAATGGGCCGTTTCAAACTACTAAATTAGCTTAAAAACTCTAGTTGAGAACGGGCCGTTCCAAATTAGCTGTTATGGGTAAAAATACAAATTACAAAATTTAACTATCATAATATATTTTGTTATTATTATTTATTATTATAAATATTATTATTATCATTATTATTAATATTTAAATAAAAATTATCTTATATTATATATATATATATATATA